GTTTTCCGTGTTGTGACGGGTGCCTGCGTCGGGTGCAAGAATTTCCCACTTTTTTAATGTTTTTTAACGTGGAATGTGAAAAAAATCAAACTGTGAAAACAGAAATAGCCCATGCAACGTGTCATGATCTGTCCAGAATGTTCGCGACCAAGTTTGGAGAGGATCCGTTGAGCGTCGCGGAACGTCATACGACGGACACACACAACAGACAGAAATTCCCTAATTTAATCAGTAAGATAAGTTGAAGATACAAGAGCTTAAAAGAAGTTTTATACTGACTCATGAGCCTTGCAACAAAGTATTTCATCACACACGATCAGCGAACTAATGATGACCCTGATGACAGCTGTTGCTTGTGCTGTGCTGCACATGCTTGAGTAAATTTTGAAACAAAAACATGCAGTTTAGCTTAGATTGCGTCGAGAACTTGCTTCATACAATTTGCAAGACTTGTTTGTACTCCAAACGTAACTGCTTCTGTGACATTTTTATGTGCAAGCTTAAGAAATGGGTTAGTTAGTTACCGTACAGGACATGTATGGAGTCTTTTCATTTTGGGGCAATGCCATTTTCATCCACGCGAATGCCGTCGTGCACTCACAGACACACGTATACTAGCATCTTTGTTGATGGAACCGTGTTGATCCATCAGGTAAGAGCTATTTATTAACAAACTTCTAATGGCAAAATTGGGAAACAACGCCCCAGTGTGATAGCACCCCATCAACGCGTAAGCGAGCGCCTAACGAAGTTCCTCGCTCGTGTCGGATCACTGCTAAGGCACCGCTAATGGACACCATAACCTATGCGTATTGAAGAATGAGAATGGTTTTTTTTATTGAATAATTATTCGTAGGATGATCGTGACGAAGGTATTGAAGCAATACGTTGCTTATAGGGTAGCAAAAGTATAAGCACTTTTTAAAAAAACTGCGCATTCTTTCCGATTTCACGCGACGCGGAGCGACTCCGACGATCCGGCGCGGCGGTTCCTCTGCGCAGCTGCAGCGACTCGGCTACAAGGTGCGGCTCGCCGTAACTCATTACAGCGTCGTCAAACCCGGTGCTCGCACCCTGCCAGGATGCCGTTCGCCGATCCCGCATCGCCTCAGTTCTCACAAGCGAGCACGAGCCAACGCCAGGTGAGGGCAACCTCTGCGCACGCACACGGCATGCAGGCATGCAACGCAAGCACGCACGCACGCAGGCACGCAGGCAGGCAGGCACGCGAGGCACGCTAAGCAAGCACGCAGCACGCACGCGCACCGGACACGCACGACACCCCAACAGGACCAACGTCCATGCACGCACGCCAGGCCATCGCTACGACAGCACGCAATCGCTGCCCAAGACATCAAAGGCTACGACCCAAGGCAGGCACAACGCGCACGCGGCCACCAGCGTAGGCCCATCAGCCGCTATCGATCAGACGCCACATCAGTCAGCGTAGTTCAGCAGGCGCGAACAACACGCGCTAGCCGATATAGCACACGCACCTGCTCCAACTGCGACAACATGTGCACCAATCAAGCACGAAAGTCGCCTACACGCCATGCACACGCACGCTGCACACAGGCACACAACAGCGTAGGATGCACACGCACGCAGGCACGCGCCACGGCACACGCCGGACGCGTAGGCATCGGCACACGCACGCGGGCACGCGCCTACGCGGCAAGCAGCGAGCATCCGACGCACAAGCTATTGAAGCACGACGTTAGGCATGCACACGGCACACGCAGGCCACTGCGTCGGCGAGATGCACACCACGCATCGCACGAACAGGCACGCTGCAAGGGCAGGCGCACGCAGGCATGGCGAGAATCACCCAAAGCCGCAGACACGCACCCCTAACGCAGATCATGAACACGCCTGCCACACCGTGCACGCATACATGCACGCACGCAGGCACGCACACGCACGCAGGCACGCACGCGTGCACAAACACGATTATTCCCAACGAATTAACAGGCTGTTCGTTAGCCGGATCTTTACATCTTTACTGCAATTGATATTGGCTACACATTTTCTTCAGATGCCCAACTAAGTTGTGATTGGTGTTAATTAATTCTCTGTCCCAGCCGATATTATCACGGCGTGCTTTCCTTGTTCTGCATTCTTACGCTTTGATAGCAATTTGATAATTTTGATATTGCGATTTTTTTATTTTGATAATATTTGAAGTTAATGTTTAGCTTTTCGTGTTGCAGCTATGAACCGGAGCTCCATCCTGGTGTCACGTACAAGATCAAGGAAATCAAGGCTGTACTGAAAATCTTCTCTACAGGCAGTATTACTGTGACAGGTAAGTTAAACCCCAAGTGCCTAAAATCGAACTCGCCATTCTACCTCAGACAGTCAGTTCCTGCATGGTGCCGAGGGTCAGAAACAGTTTGGTCGCAACATTAGTCGTAGTTGTATGTTTTTTTTGTGTGGGCCATAACAAAACCACTAGTTTACCTTACCTGTTATTTATCCTACCTTCAGTGATTCGGAATTTTTAGTGCTCTGGCGTCGGCCTGGTCCCATAGGTGCTCTATTACTAGGGTCTAGCCTGTACTCATTTATATTTTCAAAAGCATACCGATTGTTACTGAAATCTATCGTCTGCTCCTCTACTGCAGCTCCCTCTGTCAGCAATGTGGAGATGGCCATTCATCAGATTTTTCCCCTGGTGGTCGAACACCAAATGGAGAAGTTGAAAGTGAAAGACAAGTTTGAGCTAAACGTACACAAACACAACATCGTGGCGGGCAGAAAGCGCAAACACCGCGGGGGCGCGCTCCCGCGACAGCTGAAGAAATCGAGGACAAACGAAGGAACGTCGCTGTCGGAGTGTGACACCGACTCTGACTGCGACTCCGGCGATAGTTTTGACTCCAACGAAAGCGCTGACTAGCAGCAGCGCCGTGCCCCTGAGCCTGAGCCTGAGCCTGAGCCTGAGCCTGAGCCTGAGCCTGAGCCTGAGCCTGAGCCTGAGCCTGAGCCTGAGCCGTGCCCCTGAGCCTGACAATTGTGAACAAGTCGTACTTGTAAGTGGGCAAACATTGGTGACGAATGTTTGGCGTCTTGCTGTTAGAGTCACGCATGCATGCAGGTGGATCGCTTCGTTGGTCTTGGCGTGCACCGACCGTGCACCATCCGCGTTCGCCGAAGCTTCTCGAACATGGATGACATAGACTGGCATCGATTCGATCTCTCTCGTCCATTATCCTTGTGCACGGACCTGTGAACGGATTTTCTCGCCACTCTCAGTGTGGGTTCACACTTGCAACCCGCCACCATTTATGTTGCCTCGGCAGAGTCCGTGGCAAAAGCAGGTGGAGTGCCCACGTGTAGGGAAGCATGTAGAGATTTTGTGGACCGGGGTATGTTTAGATGTCCTGTGCGCAGTATAGCGCGTGCAGATTGTGTGGACCTAGTTATAGGTTGGCGTTTCAAGCACAGAAAAGCATGTACAGAGGTAGATTCGAGCAAGGAAACGGTGCACGCAACTGCATTTGCTATTGCTGCATTTCATATTTTCCTGAGTGGCTTGCTGAAATAAGCGCTCGAAATAATGGGGGGGGGAGGGGGAGTTGAGATGTGCGTTGTACTCTGCAGGTTTTGCACTCTGTAATACGATGCTGCCATCTAGCAGAGCAATTCAGAAATGTTTGAGAAAAGTTTAACTGTTATGACAAAAATTTGTTTGCCAGAACATTTTCACGTGTTAATCTGTAAGAGTGTAAAAGTGCAAGTGTGTGCGTGTGCATGCATGTGTGCATACATACAGGGCGTGCGTGTGTTTACGCATGCATGTTTGAATCTCCTCCATTTTAAAGAGTTCTTTAGCATGCGTCTCATCACATTTTCTATCATTTATACACTGTAAATTTGCACGGACAGTTTTTAAGAAGTTTGTACGAATGAATACTTGTCACGATATATCTAGCTTCATTCACATAACACGTCGTCATCAAACACATTACGTAGTTCTCTGTATATGCCATGTAGTTCTTGTAATTTTCTCATAGAAACTATTATATGTTGAGCTGTTTTCATGATCACATATCGATGTAATCGCCCCTTCTCTTCACGACGAGTGGATCTGAAGTAAATGTAGCCAGCCGAAGATTCACAATTACTCAGCAACACATTGCAGCATCTAGGAAGCGAGATGACTGCAGTGAGTTTAGATTTATCGTCGTGGATGGCACCCACTTGCACCGCGACACGAGATGTAAAATTAACGTTTAATGCCAAAGGACACTTGCGCGACTATAGTACCAGTGGCTGGATCCAACTGCTTGCTCTAGTTCAGCTGCGGTGTGTGATAACGAGCGTCGGTTCAGGCCAGGAGCATTGGAGCAATTGATCAGCAGAGTGCAATCGGTGATCACCACTACTTACGGCAACGTTGCCCCCACGGTGAGGAAATTTATCACTATTCCCCTATCAGCTCTATACCCATCCCGTACCACCTATGCACGGATAGCTCTAAAAGTTTTGTGCAGCGTCGTGTAGATGGCAGGCACCAGTGCTATAACCCGGAGAGAGAGATGCCAGCCAAACAATGCGATGTAAAACCCAAGGAATGCGAGTTGGTGCGAGAAGGCGACAAATGTTTATAGTGGTGCGAAGAGCAGTCAGGGCGATCATTCTCCGCGATTACCAAATGTCATTCCTGAGGAATAAAACTGTGTTTTATTCCAATGCAGCTGTTTGGATTTTACCTGTTTTTTTTCTCACAAATAATGAAATTATTAACCTAGCTTACACAGGATTACGGATTCGATTCTTCCAACCTGCGATGGGTTTCACTTTGCAATCAAGGCTCAAATTTACCTGCATACAAGGGGTCGGTGAAACTTCTTAATAACCAATAAGTTGATAAAGTGCGATGAGGTCATGATCAATTACTTCATAAAACTCTCGATAGAAGTGTAAATGTGTCTAGAGTCAAAATTTCACCATCTGGACTGTTGTAATATAATTGCCATTGTAGGAATTTTCTAGAAGCGCTCCTACATTTGTACACTATCACAAGTATTCTTCGATACCTCGTCACTCACCTGACTAAAAAATTATTCAACAAAAAACATTATTTCTTCAATAACCAGGTTTATAAGCATGATGTTGTTCAGGTTGAATAGTTACCCAATAAACAATCTGCTATCCTATGTAATAATACTGATGACAAGTTCAGATTTGAGATAAATATTCTGACACGAAACTAAAACGGCTGTCCGCTGGTTCAAACACTTACAGTGCAATACCTTAAACACTGATGCTTCGATAACATTGACATACATGATGACGAACACAGCTGAGGCAACCTAGTCCTCCCATGATAAAACGTTGAAATGCCTAACGTATAACCTGCACTATAACATCACAGATATTATGAAATAGAATCGGAAATCGCGTGGGAGCATTAATATAATGTTAATATAATGTACACACTACGTTAAAAGCTCTGATCAAATATTAACATTAAAACACTTATATAAACACATTTATTAACTATAACAAGGTGGAGGTCCTCTTCTAATGCTTTCTCTGTCCACCAGCAACAACTTAACTTTAAATATATAACCTTTAAGCAAACTACTTTATTTCCACTCGACTAGCCACAAGGCATAGCTGCCTGCATAGCTGCATGCACACCTGCTCAAACACATCCCTTATCTTGTTATCATAACGTTAACATATAGAAGTATAACCTTGCTTAAGCTACTATACATGTATACACGTTCTACATGTTCATAGTGTAACCACTTCGAATAGGCTGGAAACACGATCATAGAACTACTTTAACACGTTAATATACGCCTATACAATTTCCTAACGGCAATATGGCCGACAACAAGAGACTGATCATAGCTAAACCTGCCCGATCGCACCTCCATCGCAGACCTGCTGCTGAACGCCTGCTGCTGCTGCACGCGCCACACGAGCCTCGTGACCGCCTCTACAGACGCGCATGCGACAGGGACACGCTAGTAGACAAACAGCTCCGGATAGGTCATCTCGTAGACGGGCTGCTGGTCAGTGGTCACGCTCTCGATGAGGTCCAGACTGTCCTGGCTGCTGCGGTCAATCGCCTGAGATTCGATCGGCGCCAGCTGGATCTTACTGAGGATCTCACCCAGACGGTCGTGGATCTGCTGTGTCTGCAACACAGTGGTATTGTTAATTATAGTAATGTAGTGTTAATTATAAAGTTAATGAGTAATTAAGTGGATGTCAGCAAATCACGAAGACCCGTCGCGTCGGATCCGGCGATCGGTGCGTGATCGCCGTTAAGAACGAAGAAAAAATAATTAGAAGGTTTGTTTCGGAAATGATCTAACCCAGGGTAAGTCCATAGCTAGGCATATATTATTTCAGGTGTGAGTTTGGTATGGTAGTGTACATGTAGCTGGCTCACCAGTACAGAAATAATTACCATGTGTGAGTTTGGTATGGTAGTTTGCACGTAGCTGGCTAACCAGTACAGAAATAATTACCATGTGTGAGTTTTGTATGGTAGTGTGCACGTAGCTGGCTAACCAGTATGGAAACAAAGCGCGAATTAGTTTGCTATGGTAATGTACATGTAGTTAGCTAACAAGTGCACACACAAAGCACGTGAGTTTGGTATTGCAGCGTGCATGTAGCTATAACCAGTACAGAAACAATCTATCTCGGTCGGAATTATTTCAGCAGGTGGGTGCATGGTATATGTAGTCTTAGAACCGACAGACGAGTTAGAATTGGCAGAAAAACATGTAACGGTCACGCGTCTAAAACTCTGAGGCCGCGACGGGGTGTTCGATGGGGTTTCGACGCCGCGTTCTCATGAGCCGGATATGAAGGATGTTGCGTTATATTACCTTTGCCTCTGACCTGGCGACGATGTCCTCAAAGGGTGCTGTTCGGAACGTCTCGACGATCCTCCGCTGTCGCTCCTCCTCCAAGGCCTTTGCCTTCTCTGGTGACTCAACTGCAAGGTGCAAAGACGACAAATTTCACAGCCATCATATTTATTTATTTATTTATTTAATTAGGTAATTATCCATATATACATACTGTTACAATAAATTTTAAATTCATGAAACGTACAGTAGTAGAAAGAGAGAAAAAGGATTTCATTGATTCCAATTGTTTTGCATCAACATTTTGTTTAGGAATTAAGTACATCCAATTTCAAACAATAGGTATGCGATGATTCATATTGGGGCACGTATATATATATATATATATGTATATGTGTGCATATATGTCAGTGTACTTACACATTATCATTTTCAGTGACTCAAACGTGATATCTTCTTCTGGATTTTTCTGAAAAAAAGGAAGTTGAAGAATTCAATTATAACATAATTTTTTCCATATCATTGGTGAACATCTCTTCTGGAACACATTTACTAGCCATGATTTCATGAATTTCAAACGAGGCTATATGTACTCCTGTCAATGCATACCAAACAACATGAAAGCAATTAATAAAAAAAACCAATTGGGCAACGTTTTACAATGATGTCTCTGTTTGATTTTCGATGCTCACTAACATATGTTCACAAACTGTGAGGCAAAAATCAACAACCAACAAATGGTTGTACAAGTAAGGTCGACAATTGGTTTTGAAATCATTCTCAGTAACCTACCCGAATGATTCCAGGAGAAGAGTGGGCGCTGTCGGCATCAGTCAGGCTTATGGACTTGATGTCACTCATGCTGCGAGCCTTATTAAGGCTATCTAAATATCAACATCACAACGCTAGTGTGTAAGCATTACAAGAATTACAAGAACACCATTACACTTCATGCTGGCCAACAATGATACCTGCCTACTCATTGGGGATAGTCACTTTGACCTCATCTCTCTCAACTAGTGGCAAATACTGAGAGTTTAAAGTGCAACAATTCAGGGCAAGGTACATTGACGTATCCTATATAATCAAGCATATAATAATCTACTAATCAAGCATCAGTCGTTGCGGGAGACTAAGTGAAGCACGACTAGACCGGACGACATTGCATCTACATTGTTTGCCTCAGTGTATTAACGGCAATAAGACCAGAATGAGCTATGAAGGGCGTGCATGCACATACCGACAGCGTTCTGGGTGTACGGGATGGACAAGCGCGTAGTGTCGTGTCCATGCTGCTTCAAGGCTGCCACCATCACGCTCTGCTTGAACAGTAGATCTTCCTTCACATCCAGTGGATTCGGCACACTGCAGGGTACGCGACATGGCGTAAACATCACAGCATGTTTAATTGACAGGCAGAGCTTACGACAGTGGTGGTGACTACAGATGTAGCAGTAACAGCAGTAATGACAGTGGCAGCAGTGGTAGTGGCTGGGTGGTAGTGGCGGCGGTGGTGGTGGTGGTGGTGGTGGTGGTGGTGGCAGCAGTGGCGGCGACAGTGGTGGTGGTGGCAATGGTGCTGGTGCTGGCGTGTCAGTGTGGGGGCGCAGGGTTGGGGTAATAGACACACACAGGCAGCCTTCACTGCGCTTCAGCGATGCCTTACCTAGCATCCGCATTTTCGTCGCCAAACACAAAGTCAGGTAGAAGGTAGGGAGCCGACTTCCTCCTGCTCTCAATAACCTAGAAAATATAGCGAGAGAAGATTGTTAGCTGTGTAACGAAGAGGTGACGTTACCAGTTGCAAAGTGGATTTGTTGTGGAGATGAAGAAGGGAAACTCCAAAGTCCAAGCAGTTGTGTTTAGCAAATAGTATTATTGTTTTTCTCAAAAGCCGCACCCCCGTGCGTGCGCACAGAGGCACGCATCTGCGTGACCCGCACACTCTCGTCCGTTTTTCCTTTCTCCCAACTAAGAACCCCTCCATTTATACGTATCTAGCTAACAGGGAAATCAATCTTACGTGTGGGTAACCACACTTGCTGTGCACATGCATAACAACTCATTCTAATGCATAACATCTGCAGACCACACTTTGCAGCTGCTAGAGGGTAGAGCAAAGGTGTGTGGGCGTATAATGGTTGAATAGCAAGATGCAAGTGTGCAGCAGACAAAGCCTAGAGTGGGACTGGGACTGGGCTGGGTACAGAAACACTGGGATGTCAGTGTAAGCAGTAGCACCTAGCTGGCAGGGTGTACATGATAGGGCGTGTGAGCCCGGGGCCCACTGTCAGAAACAAAATAAGACTTAACATTAACTTTCTTATCTCAGAGAAACATCGTAAAGTTACGAGAATGAAAAATCACACCTAACATCCTCGTAATTAACGTATTGCACGTAATTCAAATACAGATACATGCGCTGAAGGATACGGTAGATATCACGATACAATGTATGACGTAACGCGGACGATCGATCGTCGGGAACCCTGAACCCGCGCCCGCCAACAACCGTTCTCACCTCCTCGACGTATGTGATCGGCGCCGACAGACCGATGAGCTTGGTGATGAGACTCAGGTAGCTGGCAATGATGCCGTGTAGCACCGCGCCCGTGTTCTGCATGCTAACGACCCACGAGTGGCTCTCCTGCGCCAGCTCCTGCAACACAACACGCAGACGACGTCAGCGGTCGTCGTGACGACGTGGCCCTCACACGAGATCACCATCACAACCACGAGATCACACGGGGTGTGCACATGCTACCTGCAGGCTGAAGGCGAGTAGGTGAGCGCCATCTGGTGGAGACTAGAGGCGAGGAGGAGAGCGCCACCTTGTGGAGGCAGGAGGCGAGGAGGTGAGCGCCACCTGCTGTGCACGCGCTACCTGGATACTGAAGGTAAGCGCCACCTGGTGGAGACTAAAGGAGAGGTGAGCGCCACCTGGTGGAGACTAAAGGCGAGGAGGTGAGCGCCACCTGGTGTGCGCGTGCTACCTGCAGGCTGAAGGCGATCCTCAGGAACTCGATGAGCAGCTCGTCGTGTTGGAACTCTACGGCGAGCAGCGCGAGCGTCTGATAGATGGCGCTGAAGTTGTCCAGCTCGTTGTTCGACTTCAGCAAGCTGTCGTAGCAACAGTAGAGGAACTCTCCGCCGTGCTAGAGAAGAATAGTAGAGGAACAATAGAAGAACAGTAGAAGAACAGTAGAGGAACAGTAGAAGAACAGTAGAAGAACAGTAGAGGAACAGTAGAAGAACAGTAGAGGAACTCTCTGCCATGGTGGAGAAGAATAGTAGAGGAACAGTAAAAGAACAGTAGAGGAACAGTAGAAGAACAGTAGAAGAACATAAGAGGAACAGTAGAGAAACAGTAGAAGAACATAAGAGGAACAGTAGAGGAACAGTAGAAGAACAGTAGAAGAACATAAGAGGAACCGTAGAGGAACAGTAGAAGAACAGTAGAGGAACTCTCTGCCATGGTGGAGAAGAACAGTAGAGGAACTCTCTGTCATACAGAAGAAGAACAGTAGAGGAACGCTGGAGAAGGGAGAGATGACAAGTGTGCGATCAGACGCGCACGGTGCCGAATATCCGTGTGCGGCCCACAAGGAAGTAACGTCGTGTTGTGTGAGTGCACAGGTGCGCCAGTTAAGATTTTTTATTTTTATTTATTTAATTAGGCAATTATCCATCATATACAATACATAGCATAATTTTAACCGGTCATACAATGGGTACATTCTCATAACACGATACAAACTTTTCTTATGCCTAATTTCAACCAAATTCTTTTAGCGAAAATCATACTCCTCTGCCTCTAATGTTTCTACCTTTTCCATCAGACATTTCTTTACACTATACTTAAAACTAGAATAAGCAGAATTTGTTCTAACTTGCTGTGGTAGAGAGTTCCAAGCTTCAATTGCAGTATAGGTAAAAGAAGTTTGATAGAGGGGGGCGCTCTCACCTTCTTCATGAACATGTAGTCCGGGCGGGAGCATTTATCACGACTCAGCCCAAAATCTTCAATGTCTTCAACGATGCTGTGGAAAAAATAAGGGCTTGTGTACCACGTATCATACCACCAGGAGGATGGAGGTTATGATGAAACAATGTCCTTACACAGATGCATCAAATATTAACAATGCGTTTGATTGTTCCTACGGTAAGATCAAATTCCTCACAGATCACACAACAATGTACAACCAATAGAACAGGAAATAAATGTGTAAGACATTGCTTATTTTAGTAATGTCTACGTGAGTAACACTAGACATTGCGAGCGTCTATTAATGCGTGCATGACTAGCGTGCGTGCGTGTGTGCCTGCAGGTGTGCAGGTGTGCACGAGTGTGCGTGTACGTGTGTGCGTGCGTGCGTGCGTGCGTGCGTGAGCGTACCGACATACCTGGGCGTGGCAAACTTGTCGTTGTTCTTGTGGCGGTCGATGAGAGCGTGAAGGATCTGCTGGGTGAGGCGGCGCGTCGCCGGGTCCTCGGTGAGAGCGATGCGCAGCAGCGGGTCCCAAAGTCCCGTCGCCGACGCGTACGCTGCCGTCGTGTTACTCACCGTGTACTTCTTACCGACCTGCCCACATATACACGCGCTGAGTAA